CACTGGGGCAGGCGGGGGAGGGGAGGACACACCAAGTGACCCGGGTCGCTGCGTCAGGACCTGGCTCCCCGCTGCTCCCCACTCCCACCCCCTCTGTGCCCCCTGCCAGCTGGAGCCGGGGGATTCAATGTCCTTGCAGGCGATCAGTGACGCTGATACGGAGCAGGGGCCCCCGACCGCGGCTCATTCCCGTTGAGTTCCAGAGCGAGGCCTGGCCCGTGCCAGCCACGGGAGACGTGGCCCCTGGACTCACCTCGGCCGGCGGGATGCCCTCCGGGGGGCGGCACACCAGCATGATCTCCTGCTCGAGGGAGACCTCCCTGCCCATTGGCTCCTCCTCAAAGTTCTTCCGCAGGTCTGGGGAACAGGGCGAGAGAGCAGAGCCGGCTGAAAGGACGCGCCCCCAGGCCAGGCGGCTCTGCCCCCTGGCATGGAACACCCCGACGGACCCCCGAGGCTGGCACAGGCCTCAGTAACTTGCGCAGCCGGGACGCCTGCCAGACAGATGCTGGCCCGGCTCCCACGGGGCCGCACGAGGGCTCTGCCTGCTCCGGCTCTCGAGCCGGGAGCTCTGTGCCCCTTGCCCAGGGGCCAGCGGAGGGGGGGCGGGGGCACTCACAGGCAATGCGCACGTAGGCCTTCTGGCTCTTGGTGGTCCCCGAGGAGCTCCAGGCGACGCACTGGCACCAGTACTCCTCCAGCCCAAAGATCCGCTCCACCTGCTGCCGGGAGATATCGATCCGGACGTCCATGAGGGGCAGCCCTGGGAGAGAGCAGTGCGTCAGGAAGGAGGGTGACACGCTGGGGTGGCGTTGCCCCTGCCCCCAGCCCTCGCAGGGGCCAACCCATTACAGAGCACATGTCCAGATGGGACCCTCAGGTCCCAAGGCAGCTCGGCCCAGGGGCTCCCCCGGATCCGCGGCGCTCACAGCGAGGGGGGTGCAGAGCTGCCATCCCATCTCCAAGCCGGGCCCCCGAGACCAGGGAGAGCTGTTTGTATGTTTTATGAATCCGGTGTGTGCCTCAGTTTCCCCTATATTGTGCACGGCTCCAAGGGTGGGGTGGGGTGGGGACACAGGGAGGCTAAGAGACATAGGTGGGCATGTCGCCCGCTGTCTGAGCCAGGATGGGGCACTGAAAAAAGATTGGCTGAGTCTGACTCCATCTCAGTGGAGAATCTGAGACGACCATGGCAGATCCCATCGCCAGGACACTGACCCCTCGCGCCCCAGAGGGAGATGGGTCCCCCCCAGCAGGGAAGCTGGGCACAGATCCCAGCTGGAGAACAAAGGGCGGGGAGGGGGGATAAGAGCTGGCTGCTGGGAGGAGCTGCGGCTCTCACCTGGGATCAGATACAGCCCCTGACACTGGGGTTCCCTGGGCTCTAGGCTGGCCAGGCTGGGCCGGGCTCTCACCTGGGATCAGATACAGCCCCTGACACTGGGGTTCCCTGGGCTCTAGGCTGGCCAGGCTGGGCCGGGCTCTCACCTGCCTCTCTCTGGGCTCCCCTAAGGACTCCCTGTTCTGTGCCTGCTCCCTGCCCAGTCCCCGCGCTGGGGGAGTGTGATGAAGTGGGACTGTTCTTAATGTTTCCTCTGAATACTGTGTGGGTGCCTCAGTTTCCCCTATGCATTTCTTAAGTCTCTAGGTGGTGGGGAAAGGCCAGTGTGCATGAATCCCTGACACTCTGTCTCCATGGCAACAAATGGCCAGGGCCCCTTCCCCCCCTGCAAGGAAATAGCTAAAGGTGAACAAAGAGATCAGGTGACCTCCTGGCCCAGGAAAGAGACAAAGCCCAGAGAAGGAGGGGCTGGAGGGGGTTTGAGAGTTGGAGCTACCTGGGGACTAGGAGTGAGGGCAGACGTGGGTGTCTGTCTCTCCTAACCCCAGAATGGACCCGGCCGAGGGGTCCCCTTCACCGCTGTACCTACAAGCTCTGTTTTAGACCATGTTCCTGTCCTCTAATAAACCTCTGTGTTACTGGCTGGCTGAGAGTCACGTCTGACTGCGAAGTGGGGGTGAAGGACCCTGTGGCTTCCCCAGGACCCCGCCGGGGCGGACTCGCTGTGGGCAGCGCACGGAGGGGCATATGCTGAATGCTCCCAGGAGAGACCCAGGAGGTGAAGCCGTGTGAGCTTCTTGCCCTGAAGACGGTCTGCTCCGAGGGAGAGGAGGCTCCCCAGAGTCCTGACTGGCTTTGTGGGGAGCAGTCGCAGAGCATCGCCCGGGGACTCGGTGACAGGGAGTGTCGCTGTGAACGCTGGGCGAGGGGCATTGCCCCCTGCGGAGGGGACACGTCTCTCCCGGCGGCGTCTGGCTCAGCTGGACTCGCTGGCAGAGCTCACGGGGGGACAGGGGGGCTGGAGCCCAGAGGTTCAGTCCGAGGAGGCGGTGAGGCCGTGGGGCCCACGCTGGAGGAAGTGTGAGCCCCCTCGGGGGTCTGGCCCACTGGAGGGGTCGTCCAGAGGCTCTTCCCAGGCTGGGGCATAGCAGCCAGCCAGTGGACCCCTGACACGCACACCCCAACTCTGCCAGCGCCCCTCAGGCCCGGCCTGCAGCCCCGGGCACAGCTGGCCAGCGGAGCTCAGACCTCTCCCCCCGCACAGAGCTCTGCATACACAGCCCACTCCCCGGCTCCCTCTGACACAGGCTGGCTGGGGCTGCAGCCCCCCCAGCACTCCTCCCGTCATGCACAGGCCTCGCTGACAGCGGCTGCCCCCGCCAGGCTGTGGAGACACCTGCCCTCTGCCCCGGGAGAGCCAGCAGCTGCAGGAGCAGCAGGAGTCTCCAGCGCGGAGGAGGGACGAGCGCTGGAGGTCGCTGCAAGGACACGTGGGGCAGGGCGCTCCCCCGGCTGCCCTGCACGGCATGGACTGGGCCCAGCCCCCCAGGAGCCTGCGCCGGAGGGCGGCACAAGGACAGCCCCGAGCAGGGGGCTTCAGAACAAGCCATCCACCCCCTGGAGTGGGCAGTCTGGCCACCCCCACGGGCGGGAGGGGGGGCAGATGGGAGCCTGGCGGTTTGCATGCGAGGGACCGTGCATGGCACAGCTCGGCACACACCAGGGACCCCCGTGCTCCCAGGCAGCCGACACATGGAGCTGCAACCCGGCGCCAGCTGGGGGCAGCACGGCGCGTTGGTGCAGAAAGGTGGATTTCCCGGTGCCCAGGATGGCTGATGGCACCTCGGATCGTGGGCACTGAGAGACGCCGTGGCTGGGGCAGGGCCTTTCCCCAAGGCAGCTCTGAGCGGGACCAGCCGGGCTGGCATGGCCCGGTGCGGCGGGGAGAAGCACGGGCGCTGCAATTCAAGGAGACCCTCAGACTCGCTGCCCCACTCCTGGGCACTCGCCAGCTCCACCCCCCCAAGCCAGGCCAGCCCTGCACTCCAGGACATGGTGCCCCCCCAGGGCTCCCTGCTGGCCTGGCAGTGCAGTGATGGGGGCGGGGGGACCGAGCCCTCCCCTCTGTGCCATCGTCCAGCCCGGGCAGCATCAGGCCAATGAGCCGACGTCAGGCTCTGCGCCACGGTGTGATGCCCCACAATGCTCTGAGGAGACGGGGCATGGCCTGGCTGCGGGGCCTGTGCCAGGGGACGGGCCTCATCTCCGGCCAGGGCCCAGCCAGCGAACGTGGGGTCCGGCCGTGTCGGGCCCAGAGCGGGACTATGGGCTCAACCTGCTGCCTTCCCCATGTAGCCATGGCCTGGGACGGGCCCAGACACCCACGCATGCCGCACTCCCAGCCCAGCCCCCTCACGACAGGGTGGGCACACGCCCTGGCTGTGCGGCCCTGGGCCCCTCCACGGCTCTGGGACAGCAGGACCTGGCCACAGTGTCGCCAGGAGAGCAGGGGATGGGGGAGCAGGCCTCTCCCCCAGAGCTCCTCCTTCCAACCCCAGCTCAGTCACCCCCAATCTCCCTTGCCTGCCCCCCACGCGTGACCCGAGGCAGGTCCCCGCATTGCTGGGGGCACATGTCCCGCAGGGACCAGCAAACTCATCTCACTTGTGTCCAGATTCGCCCAGGCCTGAGGGTGCCTGGAGCCAGTGTCAGAGCAGCCCAGCCCTGGCCGACTCGCGGGGTCGCCGGTTGGGCACAAGGTGTGCAGGCCACCAGCTTTCCCTGCTTCCGGCCATGGGCACAGCCAGCCGAAGGGGTTTCACTGCCCTTGCTTCCCCTGCCCCGATGCCCAGGCCCCAGCCTGGCCAGCGCTGCCCTTACCGGTGCCCTGGTCCGTGCTGCGCTGCGTGACGTGCTCGCCCTGATGCACCCACTCCCCGTTGCACTTGAAATAGATCTGGGTGGCGGGCGTCGCCCTGCAGGCCAGGCTCACGGGCTTGTTCTTGACGATGTAGACATCTTGGGGCTCCAGCAGGAAGTGGGGCAGCAGGTCCGAAGAGGCCCCCGGCATGGGGTTGGCCACTGTGGCACTCTGCTGGGCACCTGGCAGGAAAGGAGAGAGGCTCAGAGCCCCCAGGGCCATGGAGGTGGGGCAGTGAGCCAGGCTGTGCCTCTGGGTAGCTCCGAGGAGAGCATCTGGGACAGCAGCCTAGAGAGTGCCCAGCCAGCCCCAGCCTTTGGAGTCACCGAGCCCAGGGCCAGCAGGGACCCTGGGCTCACCCCGTCTGGGAAGTCGCAGGCCAGGGACAGCCCAGAATCACCCCTAGAAAAACTCCTCACATGGCCAGTGATGGGGAATCCACCACGACCCTTGGCAAATCCCCTCCCTGTTAAAAATGGGCCCCTACTGCCAGTCTGAATTAATCTGCCTCCCGCTTCCAGCCCCTGGGTCGGCTCAGACCTTTCCCCGTGGGACGCAAGGGCCCGTTAGTGAGCGTTTGTTGCCCATGGAGATACTGACAGACGGGACCAACTCACCCCGTAACTCTCTCTTTGGTCAGCCCCTGGAGTCTGTCCCACTAAGGCAGGTTTCTAACCCTTTCATCATTCCCGGGGCTCATCTCTGACCCTGCCCCACTTTACCAGCGTCCTTCTTGAACTGTGGGCACCAGAACCGGGCACCGGATTCCAGCCGCGGTCACACCAGTGCCGAATACAGAGGGAAAATCACCTCTCTGTGCCACTTGCAATCCCGTCCCCAGCATCGCTCTGGGCACCCATGTTCAGGTGCTTCTCCACCACGGCCCCCAACCTATTCCAGAGCCGCCCCACGGCACGTATGGCCGCCATGCCTGGCCCCTGGTGCAGTTACGTTCGGCCGTCTGACATGCAGGGCGTGCCTGCACCCCATTCACCCAGGGCTGTGTCACTGGCCTGGGCTCTTCACTGCGTCCAACGCCCAGGTCTGGTGCCAGCTGCCAGCTCCTTCAGGGGTGGTTTTACGTTTTCTCTCAGGCCACTGATAAAGACGTTCAATGGGCAGGGCCAAGAACCGATCCCGCCGATCGCGCGGGACCCCACTAGCACGCCCTGCGCCGTGACAATCCCCCGTTCGGTTACATCTGGGGACCCATCACCCAGCCAGGATTTAAGCCACCTAACAAGGGCCACGTTCATTTTCTAGCGTGGTTGTTTTCCAATCAGGACGTCGGGTGGCACCAAGTCTGTGATGTCAGCACGACCCCCTCCAGCACCCGCCCCTGGAATCGCCTGGGAACAGACACGAAGGGAGTTTGGCAGGCTCTGGTTGCCATAACCGCATGCTGATTTGCATTCGTTACATTCCCTCGCTGGGGCCGGCCTCTCCACCCGCCCCCACGTGGAGTGTCTGCCGGTGCCAATCCAACCAACCTGCTGCCCCAGCCACGAGCTCTGCCCTTCCCCTGGTGCCCCTCACTCCCAACCCGCACTCCGGTCTAGAGAACAGGGTGGCATCAACCCCTTTGGGGGTAGAGGCCCCGGGGGTCCAGAGCGAAGGGACTCCCTGAGGGGGCCCACGGCGAGAAACAGGTGTGCTAGGGCTCTGAGAGGTGCGGATCCAGGAGGTGGAGGGGCCTGACTCCGAGAGAGAGTGGACCCCCGAGAAGGGCTGTCTCACTAAAAGGGGCACCCCCCACAGACCGCACGGGGCCAAGAGTGGGCACGATCTCTGAGTCCGTGACAGGGGGTCACCCGGCTCCACCAGCCGCCCCCACCCCGGCTAATTCATTGAGTCAACAGTGTGCTCTTGTTGGCAAGAAGGCTAACGGCATTTTGGGCTGTATAAGTAGGGGCATTGCCAGCAGATCGAGGAACGTGATCGTTCCCCTTTATTCGACATTGGTGAGGCCTCATCTGGAAATACTGTGTCCAGTTTTGGGCCCCACACTACAAGAAGGATGTGGAAAAATTGGAAAGAGTCCAGCGGAGGGCAACAAAAATGATTAGGGGTCTGGTGCAGACAGCTTATTTTTATTCCACTGTATGGCATTTATTCTGGAGTAACTTCTGGATATTCAT